GACTACAACGTGCTATGTACCCGACATCGCATGATTCCACGTCTCACTTCATCAGTAAATATCAAGTATCATTTGATAGTACCACAAACAATTTATTTTCTGAACATAAAACAAATAAAAAACATTACATTCTTACACAACGGAGAAAAAAATTAAAAATCAAAACTCATGTTGCAAACGTTAATACCTAACGCTAACTTGGAACCCGAACCAAAATTTTTAGTACCTAAAAGTTAGTCAAACTAATACTGTACATATATATATGTACAGTGCTTTTTTTCCAACTGATCAGTAATTAATAAAATTTGTGGCAGCTCTAATAAGTTACTCGGAAATAAATCTTCAGAGAAAGCCCTCAAACACAAAAAAAATAAGCAGGAAGTAAAAGAAGAACAGACTGTGACCTTAAAACTCGAGTGAAAAGTGGATCCATACTAGAGAGAATGAGATACTGCGGGTTCCCCTTCGCTATTATACTAGCCGAAATACTAAGACCAGATGGGAAAGAAGTAAAAATTCCCATAATACACAAAGTCAATAAAGTAAAAAATAGCCCAGAGTTAAACAATTAAATCTCAATACTTTTTGAAAATTAGATTAGGAGGAGAATATATACCAGCTTTGCGACTAGGCTCACAGCTGTCCAGTTTTCCCACATGATCCTCTGACATTACCTACCTAAATCATCGTCAAAAAAGAACTGTCTGTACCCACTGTAAAATGCTGGAGATAAAGAAAAACATGGAAAGAAAATAAGGACTTCTTCTATGGGCATCTTTCAATACAAACGCTTGCATTTTTTTCGCAGGACAAAGTTATTACAAGGCAAAGTTATGGGAAACACCTGAACTCGATCTACAGCCCAACTATTTAGATAACAGGGTGCATAAGCGCTGACTGAGCAAACATCATATCAAAGAACGTTATCCATAAAGCAATGAAACACCACTTTAATTACGACAAGAAAGAGGCACAAATTTCTATTTGGTACTGCATTTGAGCTCCTGAAACTCGATGACAGTAATGTAACAAAATACTTTGAACTGTCATTCAAATTAAAAGGAACTTTACGATCACTGTTCTTTTTTAACCTCGCCCGGTATGTTACCATTCTCTATTTTCTTCCCGCCCAATCGCCGTTCTCGACTTGCAATTACAGCTCTTAAAAAAGCCAAACCTCACAATCAGTGAAAACTGTTAAGTGGTAATAAACAAGGTCTTAAAACAAATCTGACGATAATTCCAAAGCAAAAGCCAAAAATCTACCTTGACATAGCGTCCCAAATACCACCCATAAATACTGCACAGAACAGATTTTCAAACGGTGCGAATGGGTCCTGCACGTTAAGAAGAACAGCGCTAAGCTTGAAATACACGAAAAATCCAATAACGCACTGGAAAGATCAATATTAAGCATTTTACTTCAAACTCGTGCAAACTCCCTCAAGAAAAACTCTTGAGAGGATACATTTTATTACATCTTACTAGATCTCGGATAAATCATTGTGTTAAGTGGCCATTTAGCAAGTATTTAGTATGTGATGTACATACCAGGTAAACAACATCATGAGGTGTGGTGATGTAATAGGACTGCTTATTAAATGCAAAGACGATAGAAGCCAGGAGGCAAGCTTTCGTAGCAAATGTTGGACGTAACATCTCATTGTGAGCTGGCATCCATACTCCGCGAACAAGCTGGAAAAATTTTTTGTTTAACAGGAAGTACATAGACACCCAACTTAGTATCAAAAAACCTAGAGTAAGAGAGTTGGTACTTGTAGTAATAAAATGCAGTCTAATACCTGTTCAAAAGTCCTAACAATACCTGCGCCAGCTCCTTTCGCGGTCCCAACAATTATATGGATAAGAAGTGAGTTTGGATAAAGTTTCGCTGCATGAGAGACGCCATGAGCAACCTATAAAACAAAAGAAAGATCATCTGGCACTGCAAAACGATGTGCACAAAAAAATTCAAAAGAACCTTGTACGCTCTTAAAAACTCTTTGAGAACACAAAGGACCACTTTTACGGGCAAAAGTTTTGAGATCTTGTAAACAATGTCGAATGGAGAGTAGAAAACCAGGTACCAAACAATTGTTGCCTGAAAAAGAAAAAGTGCTAAAAAGTTAAGAAAAACGTGACATTTAAAATGAACGAATTTTGAAAACAATAGAATGGTACCTATACTAATCACTACCTAAACTCAACTGGGTATTTAAGAAAAATAAAAATTAGCAATTAGTTCGATAATACAAGACCAAATTTTAAGACTGCCAAACGTAAGCACCATTCATGCATTGAAAATTTATACAAAAAAAGGCCAGCATACATTTAAGAATCCTTGAAAAGTGAGTAAACTTAGCACAAAAAAACTTGCCTGAAAAACGATGACAGAGACCTCAACAAATAAATAAAAAGAAAACGAAATTTAATTTCCAAATGTAAGAAAGTATACGTTAAAACAAAAATTTTACTTCAATTAATAAAAAAACATCGCAGTTGAAGCTATGCATAGTTCAGAAATCTTCCAGCAGGTTATTTACTGAAGCATTTTTAAATTTTAAAGACTGACTCTTACTCTTGTTTTTAATTCCACTACAGCGAAAAAGAAAACGATCAGCTAACAGTGTATAAAAATTAATTCGGCTTCAAAAATTCACCGTTATGATGTCATCAGTTCGCTTGAAGGGAGCGATGACCGGTTCGCCAAGAAGAAAATTCGCCAGGAAACTACCAGCGAAACACATAAGGATTGAAGATAACCAACAACTCAATGGATGTTTTCGGGAAAACAAAGCGGCTCCATTAGCAAGATCGTCTCTAACCGCTATAGTCATCTATAATAAGGAGCCTGCAGCCCTCTTAAAATAACCGTCTAAGGTATATTGTAAATGCAAAAATAAATAAATAAACAAATAATAAATAAACAAACAAAAAAAGTAAACAAACAAACAAACAAATGATTAAATAAATAAATACATACATATATATCACTAATGTCCAACGATCTGCTGAAGATTTAACTGCCAAAATGTTCTTTTCAAGAAACAAATCTACTTTTTTGCAACAAATTTTCTTCACAGTATAATAGTGACTGTTAACTAGCTCCGTAAAAGAAAAAACCTAATAAATTTCATCCGGAACTACTGACGATACGCAAAGAACACACCAGAATAAAAAAATATGGGACAACCAGGCTAATAAAAGAAAGGTTTTGACAAAAATTACGGCGAAACACCTCCAAACTATTTCACCTCAGAAAAGCGCTAAGAGGGGTCCTTTAGCTTCGAAAGTCAATTTCCTTTATTTTTTTATTTCAACCAAAGCAACTCAGAAATATGAATCATCTGCACTTCTTCCATACTCCTCCTCCCTCCAACACAGCCCTCAGGAATATAAAGAAAATTAAACTGACCGTCAAAGTGCCGTTTGATTAGAAAAGATTATGGAAATGGTTAAGACTTAAAGTGAGTGATAAAGCTTAATTTTGCAACCTGTATACTTGCACTCTTTCAAATTCGTAGGATTCATTCTGATAAAAGATTTTCACTAAAACGTCTGTCAAATGATGCATTAAAATATACCAGAAAATTGAAGTCCATTGACTAAAGTCCCATCTTCTACTTTGAAAACTTCACTATTATTACAAGCAAACTTTTTAAATTTCTCTAGCCACACGAGCAGAAGGATGTCCAGCAGTTAATTCACAGAAAACCCATAAAAATAAGTACTTTCGTTGGTACAATTCGGTCAAATAATATAAAGTCAATAAGAAATGAGCGAATCTGAAGCAGTAAAAGACATCAGCATTATAGAACGTACCATAAGTTTAGGTAATAAATTAAAGAAATTGAAAATAAGTTCAAAGATGAAAAAAGCCTTACTTTACCGTATCACAACCTTTCTCAAATATCACTTGCTCTAAGTTATTCTGAGTCAAACTGACTAAAAGTTTAGACCTTTTTAACGTAATCTAACTCTTACTCCCCTCTGCTACTCTTACTGAATTTCCAGTACAGTCTGACCTTCTTTTAGGAACTCAATGATGTCTTTCCGTAGTGGTTCAGTGAAGTCTAGATCAAAACTTTGAGTCAGATCACTATGTTGCCGAGTGACAGTGTAAAGGAGGTCATCTCCAAGTCTTCTAACAAGCATGAGGTAGTTCAAAATGTCACTAAGCCTAAGAGTAGAACTTGGAACTCTGTAACTTATGACACATCAAACCGGCACTACACCTTTATAACACTTAACTTCCCCTACTGCACACCGAGGAACCAAATCACTCACTTACCTCCCTCACACACACCATGCCAACGCCACTGTTCAAATAAAATTAGAATCAGAAATAAGTGTAAATACTATCTTGCCCTTGTAATCAGAGTCTCGACTAACAAGTGAATTAACAAATCCTCAATACTCTTCCAAATTTGAAAAAAAATTAAACGGCTTTCTCCTTGTAGCATATCCTACAAACTCAGCGCACCCATCTTTCCACTCTTCAAAAACTTACAATACGACCTAAAAAGTTTTTCCTCTATTAAATATTCACAGCAATGCAACATCCGTTTGGTGCTATTTGATCATTCACTTTTTATTCTCCTTCTCCGACCTTTATCTAAGTAATTACTCTAATTTGACAAAAAGAGCCTACGCATAGCAACTCACAACTAACCGGAACCTTTGCAGTCATACGGAAATAAAGCTAGATTTCTACAGTGTACTTTCTGCTCGTTGCTCATGAACATTTAACCCATTTGATGCCTCATTTGAAAAATGTAAGAGTTATTTAATAATTAGCAAGCACAAAATTCATGCTCCATCCTTTAAAAAAATCGTGTGGCTTGAAAAAACAGTTTGAAACAAGTTAAAAAGCAAAAAATGATTTGCACTCCTTTGCTGTCTATATAATGACTGAATAGCATTAAAAGCCCAAAAATCTTACGCAAGCGACTAGACGCTTGATAGAAGTTTGAAGATTTGTTAATGTTCAAAATTTATCACATTCCTTTATCCCACGCTTACCCTAATAAAAACCGAAAAAAAGTTGCGGAGGCTTAAAAAGCAATACATACACAAGTGTGTGACTAAAGCGAGTGAGAAATACCGACCAATTTTCTAAGGTTCTAATGCGACAGTACTCTCTAGGTACAAAGCTTTCACTGATCAGACAGTGTTTAAGCGAATGAAGCTTACAAAAAAATTTCAAACAATTCACCGTTACAGCACTTCTTTGATAAACTGTAATAAGAACTCACCAAAATATAATGAGCAATGTCAAAGTAAGGGAACATTTTAAGCCGCTGTACGCGACTGGCGACATCAAGTAACATCTCATGATCGAATCTGAACGTATCTAACAGTGACATGTTATCAAAAATCGATGAACAGCAACACGGCAGCACCCTTCGTGCCTTTTCCGACTTTCTACCTCCCTGCAAAAAAGTATAAGTACACGGAAAGAAAAAATTAAGTAGGCAAAATCAGATGGAATCTTCTGTGAATTTTTAAAATTACTCAAACATCTCACTAAGTGATATCTAGAAATAAAAATTAAGTGGTGTCAAGAAACTGATTTGAGAACGCTAAGAAGTTTGCACAAAACTGTTGAAAAGTAATACAAATTAATAAAACTACGATATATGAGAAGTGATTTTAACAACTACGTGTAACGGCGATAACAACCTCTGTTCAAGTAAACTGTTTCATACTAGCTTAAATGGTAGAAAACAAAAAAAGTAAAATCTTAATCAGCAGAAAAAAAATTAAAATCTTAAAACTTATTTCGCTGAAAAATATCAATGTTAGAACGGACAAAAGCAAACAAGAAAAGAAGGCTGTAAAGTAAGGAGGAGTCAAAGAATAAAGAGATCTACACAAGAGTGTACTATAGTACATAAAGCTACGATCCACGACGGGATAGAAAAAAAAACATCGTTTTAAGATTTAAAATCGTAGCAAAGCGGTGTTTCGGCAACGCTGGTCGTTGCCTCCCCTGCGTATATATATAAATATATATGTATATATATACATAATGTCTACGAGCAGCAGCAGTTTCAGTAAAGAATTAATACACATGTGCTGAAAGCCAAGATGTCTGCTAATGCAAAATGCAAAAACAGTTCTAATGTTTGTTACGTGCTAGCGCGGTGTAAACTTCACTCGGCGCTGTGGTAATTTTATAAAGCACCACAGTTTCTTTTCAACACAGCTTTAATGCGCAAAAAAATAAGATGAGATTTACCAGCTACATATTCAACTAGAATGGTGCCAGTTTTTGAAACTAACTTTCCTCAGTCCTTGAGAGTTATTCTATTTGAACTTGAAATTGAACTTGAAATTGAAGATCTTCTGAAATCCTCAAAGCAAAAAGAAATAACATACCAACAAACTGAACTTAATTCTCTTCCAATCAAGAACTAGATAAAATTACGACGACAGGGCTAAAAAACTCCAAAAACTTGCAGTGTTTTCCGAATTAAGAAGATAATAATCTCCAGTCACTGGTTTTTGTATGATATATCATCACCAAAAGCTTCAAAAAAAAAAAAAAAAA